TCTACAAGAGCTCAGGGGTGTGAGAAGCATGGTTTGGCAGACTCACCCACACGTAAACACTGAGGGAAGCAAGCTCAGAGTGAAGAAGGGACAGGAACCGCCTCAAGCAACTGCTGGAGCCAGCAAATGACAGAGCAAGGGCTCTCAAGAGGACCTTCTGGACACTGGCAGTGGCAGCCACCATGGCAAAGGAAGGGAGGGAAAACACCACCCTGCTGGGCATGTATGTCTTAAGACAACTAACAAGAGAGAAGGGAGGAACCAGGTGGCCTGGAGGACAGAAGCAGTGTGCCCAGCTCGTGGCTCCAGCAGAGCAGTTTAACTGCTTATCAAGAGGAAACAGACACGGCAGCAGAGCGGCTCAGCATTTGTGGCTGCATGAAATTATGGTGGATACTGGTTTTAATTTGCAATTATCTGTATCACAAAAAGCACTCCTCTCCTCCCACTAGCTGATGATGAAACAGGCAGAGGCACAACTCCTCATCTCTTGTCACAAGGGCTTTTCCAGAGCAAGGACAAGATACCCAGGCAAGCAGAGATCCAGGGAAGCTGGTGTCAAAGCTACAGGCAAGAAGGCAATCAAACGTTTTACACTGACATTGGGAAATTCAGTTAGAATATAATGGGAAGCAGAACACAACCAGGGCACTGATCTTGCAGATGTGACAAAGTAACAGGATATGAAATAAAAGGCTGCTCTGCTCAAGAGATAACACACAGTTCCTGGAGGTCATCAGATAACAAATTTGACAGTAATCTATCTTTGTCTCTTGTATAAAAAAGCGAATGTTAATTCCCTGATTCTCACAACTGCTTAGAGACTAGTTACAAACAAAAAGGTGATATCTGACAAACATTACTGGATACATCAAAGGCAACATGATGACCAGCTCTGTTTTGCGAATGCTGCTGCTTTGAAATAATGAAAGCTGTAGAAGAAACAGAAAATCATAAAACCTTGTTCCTTGCTGCTACACTGATGCATTATTTCTCACAGCAACCCAGAAACACAAGAGTCTCTCATTTGACTGCAGTGTCTGGGATCACAGCATGAGAACTGCCTCAGCTTAGGTAATTTAGGCATAAGCAAGCAGCACTTCTAATTTTTAAATTCCTGCAAGGGTCCTGCTAGTAACAGCGATCTGAAGTGAACACAACCTCTCACAATTCAGTGGTTTCTGGGGGTTGTGTAAAGATATTTCAGAGCTCCTGGCAGTAAGTACATGGGTCACTTCTTCAGTCTGCTTGATTTGGGGTTTCAGCTGGTTATTCTAGTTCCAAGACAGAAACCAGGAGCGTGTTTGTCAATAATTGACAGTCATTTCCATGTGGTTTTGACAGGTTTAAGGAGATCCAGTGACAGAGAATCTAACTGCTCTAAAATTATTTTCTAGCTCAAACAACAGAGCAAAGACCAGCTGAATTATACATGTTCAGCCACAGAGTGAGCAGTAGGTCAATGTAAGTTTGTCATAGCTCTCAAGGTAGAGAAGGAAAAGCAGCAAAGCATTCTGTCTTCAAAAGAAATATCACAATTATTCCACAGATTATCCCACTAAAATGCATTCCTTTCTAATTGATGCCTCATGATGCTCCTTTTTATTTCACTTTGCTTCTTATTAGGTCACTGACAATGCTTTTACTTCACGAAAATTCCTATCTTGAGATAGACGAAAGCTCTTTAAACTGGGGACATGATATTAATCTTGCACATCAAGCTCTTTCATTCTTTTTTTCTAAATCCTTTCCTCATTGCTGCAAATCCCTAATAAGAAGCTGTACCTGTATTTTCTACCAGTGCACTGAAAAACTGCCTGGAAATTTAATGCAGTATATCTTAAATGCAGGCACAACAGGGCAAAAGGACATTTCAGGAATTCATCTGGGTTGTAGCATATGCATTGCCTGTCTCCAATTCCTTCCTAATGGAAAGTAAGTGAACCATTCACCTCTGTACTAAGTTTTAACATAAAAGTATCAATTACCATCTTGTGAATATGATGGCCATCATAAATCCAGTTTAAAAACGACAGCGTGAAATGACAGGGTATGACACTGTATTTTACACCATTTGTTATCCCCTCTCCCATACTAAATCTCTACCAATTTTCCCCCACAAAAAGAAAGCCATTCCTCTAACAAATGTATCTGGAAACGAGTACCAGAGAAAATCTATTAGCTGGAATGCTGTAAATTAAAAACTTTGAAGAAATTTATTCTCTTAGAATTTAGGAGTACTTGTGACTTTCTAATTTAATACTCAAAATTTTCATAAATATTTGGTTTTTCAACTGGCTCGCCACAGAAGATATTAAACAGACCAGACTGTACAACACTACAGAGGTATGCCTAGTATATCCTGTCTGTACAGAACCTGAGTATTTGATATGGCTTGAGGTGAGAGGGGGAAAAGCTATAAATTATGAGCCTCTATGTCCCTGAGCCCAAGGCAGATAAAATGAAAGCCAACACTAATTTAATTCAGGAAGATGATATAAACAAGTATTTTAGTAAGGCCTGAAATGTACTGATGATTCTACCATTTCTACTCAACCATCAGTCCTGATGCTGTAATAGCTAAAAAAGCTACTTTGGCTAGGTGAGCTAGGATTACTATTAAATATCCTGGGAACTTTTACTCCTCTGGCCCCCAAATCCTTCTAAAACTGACAGAAGTTGGACTCAGTACTCTCAGGCACATGGTGTGGCTCTTGGGGATGGTCCTGTGAAGGGCCAGGAGTTGGATTCAATGATTCTTGTGGGCCCCTTCCAACTCAGCACATTCTGTGATTCATTACATGCACACCCTGTCTGCTTTCAAAAGAGTTACAGAATGGTACCATGGTTGAAGAAGAGGTTTGCCCTCTAGTATATATATATATATCTATATATCTATATATATATCTATGTATGTATGTATGTTTTCCCATGAAAACTTTAAACCAGAAGACTTTTTTTTTTTTTTTTTGCCAGCTTACAGCCTTTGGTTCACCACCATTCACAGCATTGGCATATAACATAAATCCTAGAACTGTGTCCTGGCCATGTTATGCATTTTGTGTAGACAACATTCTTTCAGTGAGGATACTGTCTTCCTTTTTTCCCCATCCAGTAAAATTAGAATTGTTTTAAAAGCAGTAACTTTGTGGAAAACAATGCAGAAGGACTCTGAAGCTTACAGCTTGAAACCTGTTCATTTGGTAAGAACGCAGGAGTCCAGACCTGTGATACAACTGCAGCACCACTGGACAGGCAAGTACAAGGTCTTTTAGTGAGGACAAGGCTGTATTACTCTCCAAATAAAAACATTCTAGAGATTTGCTGATGATTTTGCATTTTGTTAAACACACGGTAAGATACTTAACAGTGCCTATTAAATTGTGTTCAAAACCCGTGCATTTTCTAACAATACAATAGTAAGGCAAAAATAGTATTTTATAGCTGGAATGATCTATCAGTTCAGTGTTACATAACATGCTGTGAGGGGATGGCCAGATTAGATCCAGTAAAAACTGCATTTTAGCTATGTTGGATGTGAAGTGCTCTCTTGCATGTGTCAGGATTGCAGCTTTTCATTAGTGCTGAAAACAGCAAGTACTTCTTGTGCCCAATCCAAAACAGTTCCCTAGGTCCAAGCAGTATGAAGTCCAAAAATAGAGACACTTCCCAAATAACCTATATTTGGATGACTTTGGTTTGATTATGTGACCCTCAGGACACCACAATAAATCTTCCCTCCCCTTGCTTGTGTCTACAAGTAGCATCCTTATTGCAGATAAGCGATGGTGCAAGGAGCACAGCAAGGACACTTGAGAGCACACCAACAGAAATGCTGACCCAGAGTCACACTGGATGTAAAGAAAATGGCTGGCTTGTCTAGGGAGAGCACAACATAGTGCCAGATCACAGTCCTACCCCATCTCCATGGGGCTGCATATTTATAATGTATACTATTTTGCTTATGACTGAAAACAGTATACGGAGGAGTTCAGGGGGGAAAGGGAATCAAATGGGATGGGAAACAAATCAGTTTCTTTTCAAGCTTATAATTTCTTGAAACACTTCTTTATCGTGACTCCACACAGTGACACAGACCAAGCTTTCTTCCCCTCCTCCACCTGACAATAAAAGCGAGCCACACAACAAGGTGGTGACACCCATTCACCCATTTCTGAGGGGAAAACGCTCTTGATTTATAGTCGACTTCATAAGAAATTGGCCGGTATAAAGTGGATTTCCTATTCTATTGTCTTGTGGAGTAACAGGATCTGCTGTTTACAAACCAAGGAGTAAAAGCACCTTTCCAGTCACATTACCGCAGCAACCCCTTCACATGGCTGCACACCTCACCCTTTCCAAGGGGTTCTGTCCGCCCTGAGCCGACCTTCTCCCTTCCCTCCCTATCCTGCCCGCTCCCACCTGGCAGGGAGCGAGGAAAAGCCGCCGGGCTGCCCGGGACCGAGGGCGGCCCCGCGCCCACATCCCCGGCCCCCGCCGCCGGCAGAGCCCGCTCCCCGGCCGGCCACGCCGCTGTTCCCAAAGCCGGCCAGTCCCGGCTGGACCCCGCGGGGGCTGCTGCCGCTCCCGTGCGGGGACGGCTCCCACAGCGCCGGCTGAGCCCCGCGGCCACAGCGGGACATCGCGGCCCCGCCCGCCGCCGGCGCCCCGGGACGATGGAGTCGAACCCGGGCGGCCCCGCTCCTGAGGCGGCGGGCCACGATCTCTGCCCACCGCCGGCCGCGACCTTGCGGAAGGGCTCGCCGCTCCCGAGCATCACCGCAGCGCCCGGCCGGGCGGCTGCGGCAGCGCTCGGGGGGGCCCCGCCGCCAGCTGTCCGGGTGCGGGTCAGCGCAGGCAGCGCCGCCGGCCGCGCTCCGCGCTCCGCAGCCCGACCCACAGGTAGGGTCGGTGGGGCAGGCTCCGCTTTTGACATGTACACGCACCCGGCCGCCTGCGGCACCGGCACCGGGCCCGCCCGGTCGGGCCGCCCCGCTCACCTGCTGCTGCACCGCCGCCGCCGCCGCCGCCGCTCTGCGCCGCCCGCCCAGTTCCGCATCGAGCGGCGGCGGCGGCGCGGGGGGGCGCGGGGGCGGGCGGAGCGAACCACTCGCAGCTGGGGCGGGGGGAGCCGCGCCGCCAGCCGCCAGCAGGGGGCGCTGCAGCCCGGGAGGGGCAGGCGGGATGGGGGCGGGATGGGGGCGGGATGGGGGCGGGATGCGGGCGGGATGTCAGGGAGCATGGGGCGGAACAGCTCTCCGGAGCAGGCTGCGTCGAGAGAAGCGGGAGCACTTCAGCCGCTTGAAGCGTCGGCAAGCAGCAGCGGAAGCCTCGCGGTAAAGCCCGGCTCCACTCGGACGAGGACACGCTGCCGTGCACAGGCACAGTGCCGTGTACTTTCACTCTGTATTGAGCTACATACTTGCTGATTTGCTAGTAGCTTCGTAAGATTACAAGAGAATTTGGTTATTAAAAGCTTGAGACACAGCTTTTTTAAATTCCTTCCAAGGTCTTAAAAATCGGTATGCTGCACAAACAAATCCATTTATTAACAAAACCAAATATAAATCCAAAATGCAACCAAAAACATCCTAAGTAGCCCAAATTTTTATACATATGGAGTGCAAAATTGAGAAACACTATTTGATATTTCTCATTTGTATTTGCCCACTGTAGAGGAATTGGGTTTTCAGAAATACCTCTTCAGAAATACCTTTCCTCCCTCCCCGTAGACCTGAATGCATCATGAGCCAATACAGCTGTTGAATAAGGGAGCAGTCAACCACGAACACCTCCCAGGACTCTAATTCAAACACCCCAAGATTTCTCCAGAGGCCAAATCAGCAAAATTAATTTGAAATAGATCAACCAGAGAGACTTAGAGCAGCAGGACTTACTCTCAGGCCTAGATAGCATTTTGTAAACATAGAAGTACAAATGGTGACCAATCTCATGGACCATTCTTACCCCACACCTGCTTACTTGAGCTCCATGGGCTAACCTGGGAAGCTTCAAAAAGAAAAAAAAAATGGTTCTGTACTGATTTGCATTTTCACACGAAGTGAGAATGTGAAACTGTAAACAAGGAGATTGACTACATGATAATGAAAAGGGATGCAGAAGGCAGAGTGTGCTGGTTTGGGCTGGTAGAGTTCATTTTATTCACAGTGACTGGTACAGGGCTGTGTTTTGGATTTGTGCTGAGCACAGGGTTGATAACACAGAGATGTTTTTGTTATTGCTGAGCAGAGCTCACCCAGAGCCAAGGCCTCTTCTGTTTTCCATGCTGCCACACTGCTGAGGGAGCTGGGGGTGCACAGGAGGCTGGAAGACACAGCCAGGACAACTGATCAAAGGGATATTCTAGACTACATGGCATCACACTCAGCACATAAAATGCAGGGAAGAAGAAGGAAAAGTGGGATGGTTTGGAGCAATGGAGGTTGCCAAGTAACAATTACACATAAGACCCCACTCTCCTGGAGATGGCTGAACACCTGCTTGTCCATAGGAAACGGTGAATAAACCCCTTGCTTTGCTTTGCTTGTACGTGTGGGTTTTGCTCTCCCTATTAAACGGTCTTTATCTCAAACCATGAGTTTTCTGGCTTTTACCCTTCTGATTGTCTCCTAGTCCTGCTGCTGAGGAGTGAGCTAGTGATTGTGTGGGGCTTAGTAGCTGTCTGGGTTGAACCACAACCCAGAGGCAAGGAAAGTCACTGTTCTCACCACTGCCATCCACAGCAATGTTACAGGTTGTACCTTGAGAATCCCTCAAATTCACATGCAGTTTTTCTCTTCAAATTGAGATGCAGCCCAAAGAATATGAAAATGGAAGTTAAGCTGCAGCTCTTCTGTTGACAGCAGGGCCCAGCCACCGTCTAATCCACCCAGCATTGATGAGCTCTTGAGATCTGCTCATTATTCCCCCTCCCATACTCTGCTCCAATCTCCTATAAGCCTACACCTATTCCTTCTTCCTCTGGTTCAGTAGATTCCAATTTAAATTTTATACTCCAGAGTAACAGAAAGGCTTCAGCAGAAGAACCTGTGGTGTGCAACCTTGCCAACTGACCAGTTTTCCTTTCCCAATGGGCAGGGGATCATCAAGCACTTCGGAAGCAACTAATGCTGGACAGCTGTCTGCTTTTCCCCATCCTGCTGCTCCCTTTGAGGTAATGCACACGTTCAGGTCTTCCTGGTGTTTTGCCTATGAACACATCAGAAATGAGCAGCATATCAGGGATCAGGTAAGGTCCTGCTGAAATATACTTGACAGCTGGGATGCACTGGACTCCTCTTTCAATTTTGTTGAGCCAAAAAATGCAGAAAATGGAGTAAAGCATACACAATAAAAGGGTTACATTCTGAATGCAGCTGTACAGATCAAGGTGAGGTATGTATGCATAATGCATGGTCTTTGTGATGCATACTTAATCCACTTCACCTATTTGCCAGCTCTGGCACACAGCAAGGCACATACTGAGCTACAAATCTCCTACTGAAGGCCAAAGAAACTGCCTGGGGTTGCACTGCTACTTCTTTCTCATCACTTCTTGCTTCTCCCCAACACATACACTCATCATTTCTTATGAGACTTGAGCTTGTTACAGCAAGAACTTATTCCAACCTCCTCCAGTCTCATTACAGCACATCAGAAAATGTCAAAATCCTGTATTAGGCTTTATTCTTTTATATAAACATTAACATTTCTCAAACAGATTAGTTAAAAATACAGTTTTAAACAAGAATTTCTGCAATTGCAATGAGTTATAAAAAACAACAGATTATTTTACAGATTGTTACAAGTGCTTTACAAAGGTGCAGAGTGAAGGCCAGTGGCAGGGGACCAACCTCAAGTGCAAAATGGACACGATACCCTCACCGCGGGCATAGCGCTCAGATACACAGCCAAAAAAACAACAAACAAACCAAAAAACAGACAGACAAAAAAACCCCCGAGCCATGTGAACCTATGCTCTTGGGCTGCTCACCGGGCAAGCAGACATAGACCCCTATGACAGAGAAGACTCATGAGACCAAACTACCAGGATACTTAAGGTTACATCTCTGAGATCAGCCATAAGATGTTTTCTCTTGGAAAATAAGGAACATGTTTTATAACAGTGTATTTCTTTTCCGTCAGACAAAATATTGCTATAAATCCTAGAATACTTATGGATGCGGATACCTAAAACTTGAGCCATAAATCCAGCGTGGATCTCACAATGCCCAAAGTGAAGAAAGTATACAAGACCCAAGTATCCTTCTGAAGCAGTTGGCACTCCTCATACAGGAGGCACCTCCATATCCCATGATCATCACTGAAACCATGAGCAAGTACCTTGGAAAGACTTTGGCAAAAGGAAGACGATGCAAGTGGATCTGATTACACCCAATATTCCTGCAGCCTGTGATCTGAGAGTTGTACAGCCCACAGCTTATGCAATGCCCACATATTTCACTAAATGCAGTGTGTCCTCTCTCCTTGGTCAATACGTCTTCACACCCACCTTGGAACACATACCACATGCTCCAGATTCCTGGAAGCTTTTGAGATCCTTCCACCACACCCACCTTACTTAGGTACCAGGCCTACCCACCTATCTTTCTTCTGTTCCACCCCTAAAGATAAAATCTATGCCCTGATTTGTTTTGAACTAAAGTTGTCCAGCTGTTAGCAAATCAAAGCTAAATGGAGCTGTCTGCGAACCACCATGAGATAAAACCGTGATGCATTACATTAAAAAAAATCCACTACTTTATGCCTGACATCTTTTTGATACACAATGTTCCCTACCCAGAGGACCTCCTTGTTAAACAAAGGGGACTACATATTACAGGAATCCTTTTTCCAAAGGAGGGCCAGAATAAAGGGCAGCTCTAGAGATGAAGTCTCATAATAAAGAAATAAAAGCTACTTCTCTTGGAATCATTGTAAAGGGCAGCACATTCAAGAGATTTTATTTATAGGAAACCCAGTGAAACCCCCAGAACATCCACACTGACTTCCCTGAGCTCCTCAGATCCAGGTACACTGGGGACTCTGCCTTTTGAGCTGGGACATGCTCAACAGAGAGCTTTTGGCAAGTTCCTGCAAATTCATTTTCATAATCAGCAAGAAGAGGATCAATGGGCAAACCCTCAGCATATGCTTAGAGAAGAGAAAGATTCTGAAGAAAAAGGAGTTGAGGGGCAGAGGGAAAGGTCTTCATTTCTACCGTTTTTGAATGTTTCACGTTATTCCTGTGGGGTACGGGTACTACATCGAAACCAACCCCTCCATCTGAGCTACCCCAGCTGCCTCCTGCATAGTCTCATGACAACACTGAAACCCCAGGCTCATCACTCCCTGCATGCCCAGCCCAGGGTCCAGTGCTTTGGAGAGGGGAGGCTGGCTTCTCGTTAGCAAAGGCTGGGAGATGGCATTATGTCAACATGTCAGCGCCCTGGGAGCATGCAGTCACTCATGCACATCCCAGATTTCTGAGAGCAAGGGCGGGAGTTTCTTGTCCTGCAGCCGAAGGGCAAACACCTGTTCAGAGTGGACACTGCTCAGTGTCCGAAGACTGACCAGCTTCATTAACATCCGTGGAAACATCAAGCGGTCCTACAGGGGCAAATAGACAGCTGTTAGTAAATTCATCTAAAACTTTGTTTAAAAAAAAAAATCACCACAACTGATGATATACTGTAATCACAATCCTTATTTCATCTAGACCCAGAATTCTCCAGAAGGATGCAGTGTGAAAGAATACAAGCAGTACATCATGTCCCAAAACTCCTGACTTTCCATGCTGGCTAGAACACGACACAGGACAGCAGATTGCGACAGCTCATAAACCCTGCATTTACAGCTGCCATCAACGAGCCCAGAAGGGACAAGCGTGACAGTACAAGCAGCAAGAGACCTGTTACAGACAGTACTGCAGGAACTTTGCTGGCATAAACACAAAATCCACTTGCATCATCACTGGAGACATTCCAGTCAGGCACTTACATTTGGTCTGTTGATGCAAATGTAAGAATGAAGCGCTTCC